CACCAGGAAGCATGCAGCAGCATGAGCAGCACCAGGAAGCATGCAGCAGCATGAGCAGCACCAGGAAGCATGCAGCAGCACGAGCAGCACCAGGAGGCATGCAGCAGCAGCAGCACCAGGAAGCATGCAGCAGCAGCAGCAGCAGCGGCGCGAGGGGAGACTCCTTCCCTCAGTGCCACAGTGAGGGTATACGCAGCAGCAACTTCTGCTGCTGCTGCTGCTGTTATTACTGTTACTGTTGTTGCATCTGTTATTTCTATTGCAATTTTTCGAAGTTGTTTTTCCGTTACACTCAGAGTAATCAATGCGTCAGGATGAGTTACTGTATAATAAAGCGCTCGTCTCAATAGATAGCTACGCTTCGTAGCGTGTCACCGTGACTCACTTACGTTCCATGACTCACTGGGTAAAGTTTGACTCACTTGAGTATTAATTTGAATACTTTGCGTGAGTACAGACAAAGATGTGAGTCAAGAATCATCACGTTACAGCTGTTACAGTCACAGCTTTTGTGCTGTTACAGCCACAGCTGTTGTGCTGTTACAGTCACAGCTGTTGTGCTGTTACAGCCACAGCTGTTGTGCTGTTAGTCACAGCTGTTGTGTTGTTACAGTCACAGCTTTTGTGCTGTTACAGTCACAGCTGTTGTGCTGTTACAGTCACAGCTGTTGTGCTGTTACAGTCACAGCTGTTGTGCTGTTACAGTCACAGCTGTTGTGCTGTTACAGTCGCAGCTGTTGTGCTGTTACAGTCGCAGCTGTTGTGCTGTTACAGTCGCAGCTGTTGTGCTGTTACAGTCGCAGCTGTTGTGCTGTTACAGTCACAGCTGTTGTGCTGTTACAGTCGCAGCTGTTGTGCTGTTACAGTCACAGCTGTTGTGCTGTTACAGTCGCAGCTGTTGTGCTGTTACAGTCGCAGCTGTTGTGCTGTTACAGTCACAGCTGTTGTGCTGTTACAGTCGCAGCTGTTGTGCTGTTACAGTCACAGCTGTTGTGCTGTTACAGTCGCAGCTGTTGTGCTGTTACAGTCGCAGCTGTTGTGCTGTTACAGTCACAGCTGTTGTGCTGTTAC